GTTGCCCCTTTAAAAACTGTGTAGTGAGACTTTTTGGCCCCAACAGGCTGCTGGTTGCTGCCTGCAATCTTACCTCCCTGTGCTGGGCCAGATAGCTCCCCAGTAAGCACTAGGGGGTGCTAGGCTGCCTCATTGAGCCAGACAGCTTGGGATAGTCATCTCTTGGCCAGGAAAAAAAATCATAAAGTATCAGACATTTTAGGTATCTGGTACTTTCTGATTTTTTTTTTTAACCACACAGGAGGCAAAAATAATGGACTGCCCAGGTCAATACCACACACCTGGCAACCCTATTAATCAGCCTTGCCCAATTGGTCAGCTTTGTGCAGGGAGCCCTGAGCTTTTGACTGGTTGGGGCTAATTAATCACCTGTGAAGTTGTGCTGCTCTTAAGTTAGAGGGATCACTGGTTCTGGATATGACTGTCCTTTGCTCTGCCTAGGTAATCTCCTGCTTGGTCAGGGTAACACAATCTGGCTGAGTCTGACTCAGCCCTGAGACAGTGAAACTGAAGCATTGATGTTTCTCTGCCAAATGATGCCCCCATGCCCTCTTACTGCACCAGCAGCAGACACAATTTTCTACACTCTGGCTGTGTCGACATTGGCATCCCTTTCCAGAAAAGGGATGCTAATGAGACACTTCGGAATTGCAAATCCGCGGGGGATTTAAATATCCTCCACGGCATTTGCATTTACATGGCTGCCGCTTTTTTCCGGCTCAGGGTTTTTGCCGGAGAAAAGCGCCAGTATAGACGCAATTCTCCGGAAAATAAGCCCTTTTCCGGAGGATCCCTTATTCCTTCCTTGAAAGTAGGAATAAGGGATCCTCTGGAAAAGGACTTATTTTCCAGAGAATCACGTCTACACTGGCGCTTTTCTCCGGCAAAAACCCCGAGCCGGAAAAAAGCGGCAGCCATGTAAATGCAAATGCCGCGGGGGATATTTAAATCCCCCGTGGATTTGCAATTCCGAAGTGTCTCATTAGCATCCCTTTCCTGGAAAGGGATGCTAATGTAGATACAGCCTCTGAGTCCTAGTGGCACCACTCCCCCACCCTGGTCTGGCACCTGAGGCGGCTGCCTCAGTTTGCCTCAGGGTTAAGGCCAGCCCTGTGGACACTTGTATACTAGAATGGAACAGACTACCAAACTCAGTTCAGCTAGGCTACTGAGCATTCATTAAAAAATACAAGGTTTCAGGACAAGTGTACACTACAAAATTTTGTTAATAGAGCTGTGTCAAGTAGGAGAGTGAAAAAATCATGCCCCTAACCAACACAGCTGTATCCACAACCTCCACAGTGTAAATGTAGCTTATACCAGTAACAGAGTCTTATTACTTGTTATGTATAGTTTATGTCATGGGGGAAGGTGCTTTAACTATATCAGCAAAAGAGCTCTTTTGGTAGAAGGACGCAGCTTTATTAGCAAAATTTCATAGTGTAGACTTGGCCTGAAAGTTTGTACTTTTTAATGAATGTTCAGTATCCAACAAACTGCAGCATTCCAGTACACAAAACCTAAGTACTTCAAAAAGCTAACCATAATAACGCAAAGGTTGACATGAACATAGGGACTGAAATGACATCATAAGACTGAATTAACTATGCTTGGCTATGATATTTAAGAACACTTTAAAAGAAAAAGTATGTTTTCATAAAGGACCAGATAGTGTGGTGTTCCAAGTAAGAGGCAAGCATAAGGAATTTTCTACATCTTACTTCCCCTTTGTGCAGCCTAGGTTAGGACAAGAAAAATTGCAGTCCCAGAGGACCAAAGAAGAGGTGAGACCTCAGGCCTGTGCCCCACCACACTTGTCCATGGAGTGGGACTAGTAGAGGGAATAAATTGAACCCCAGAAAGAAGAGCTAGGTTGTAAATTTCACACTTCTTTTCAACATATATGCTATGTCTAATACTGTGAGCCTCTTTCAAAAAAGAGCATCTAGACTACAACCAGTACTTTAGAAAAAGCACAGTTGCCTTACATAGAGCTTTTTTTTGAAAGAGCACTTTCGAAAAAAGGCATTCTTCCTCGTAAAATGAGGTTTTCTGCAGTCAAAAAAGCTCCCGTGTTCTTTTGATTTACTTTAGAAAGAATGCAGCAGCAGTCTAGACACACACGGGCCACTTTTAAAAAAATAACAACTGTAGTCTAGACACACCCATACATAGGCTGAACCTCTCTTGTATGGGACTCCCTGGTTCAGCAACATCCATGGGCCGGTAGGCTACCACCACTGTGCATGGGGCCGGGGAACCCCGGGAGCAGCTGCTGCCCTGCATGGGGCTGAGGACACGAAACAAAGCCATGTGAGCAGGCTGAGAGCAGTAGAACCAGGCAGGTGGGCTGGAGGAAGTCAGGAGCAGAGCCCCAGGAGAGCCCTGATTCCTGACCTTCCTCTGGTCTGACAAATTCCCTTGTTTAGGACCTCTCCAGTCACGGGGGTGCCGGATCAGGGCGGTTCAACCAGTACTGCTCTATTCAAATCAGATATGTCATAATAGTAGCTAATTCAATGCAAGTAAATTCTAAAGTTAATAATAAAGCAATATTTGAAGATTACTTGTGAAAAGAACATCAGTCTGCCTGAATTGAAAATTATCATGCTTTGTAATAAGTGACCCAAGAAATACATAAACATTTTCAAAAGAAAGCACTTATTAAAATAACTAGTAGAATTACAACATAATTTTTTCATACATAAGGTGAAGAACACACACGATGAACTTTAATTACTTGAAAAACCCTACTGCATTAAGCTATTCCTGTATTAAGAAAGGTCTTACTTATATATGTATAATCACTTAGATGTGTACAGAATAAAGTTAATCTTAATTAACTGTACTTTGCATTGAAGTAACAGATTATTTTTAATAACTAGTTTTAGGGCTGTCAATTGACATGCGTTAACGCCTGTGATTTACGCAGTCCAGGATTAACATGTTATATTTTTTAACACATTAATCATAGGCATTAATGCTGCACTGCCCCTTTGAAGTGCCGCTGTGGCGCTTCAAAGGGGTAGCGCAATCGGAGTCTGGGACCAGCTGGGGAATCCTTGGAAATGCGCAGAGGCCCCTTGGAAATGCGCAGAGGCAGCTGCCTAATAGCCGAGCCGGGGATCAGCAGTGCAGTGGCTGCCCCTTAGAAATGCCACCTCCACGTGTTTCAAATGGGCAGTGGAGCCCGGGGTCATCTGTGGATTCCCCAGCTTATCCCGGGCTCCATGCGGCATTTCCCCAGAACCCAGGGTCAGCTGGGGACTCCCCAGCTGACCCTGGGTTCCACTACCGTGGGAAGTCCAGGATAAGTTGGGAGACCCCAGATGACCCCGGGTTCTGTGGCTGCACAGAGCCCAGGATCAGCTGGGCAGTCCCCAGCTGACGCCGGACTCCAAGGCAGCTTCCCCTTTGAAACACCAGAGGTGGCATTTTAAAGGGAAAGCTGTGGAGTACAGGATCAGCCAGGCACTCCCAGCTGATCCTGGGCTCCCCATGGCAGCAGAACCCAGAGTCAGCTAGGTACTGCAGCTGATCCTGGGCTCCTAATGTGCTGCCCCTTTGGAGGTGCCAGGGTAGCATTTGCAAGGGGCAGCTCAGCACAGAGCCCGGATCAGCTGGGCACTCCAGATGATCCTGGGCTCCATGTCATACTGTCCCTTTGCTGCACCACATGGAGCCTGGGGTCAGCTGGGGACTCTAGCTGACCCTGGGCTCTGCCTTGTGCATGGAGCCCGGAGTCAGCTGGGGACTCTAGCTGATCATTGGCTCCATGCAACGCAGCCCCATTGAAATGCTGCGGCAGCATTTCAAAGAGGAGGCACATGCGAGCAATTATCCGATTAATCACAATTCAATTTTTAAATCACTTGTCAGCCCTAATTAGTGTATAAGCAATTGTGTAATTAAGAATTGTATTTATTTATACAAGTCAGGCTTCATATGGTGCAAGCTATAGCACTCACAACATGGGATACAAAGATCCAACTTAAACAAGTATAAGTACTGTATATAATAGAATAATAGAACTGGAAGGGAGCTTGAGAGGTTAAGTCCAGTCCTCTACCCTCACACCAGGAACAAGTACTAGAAGATCATCGCTGATAGATGTCTCTCTCACCTGCTCTTAAATATCTCCTATGTTGGAGATTTCACAACCTCCCTAGGCAATTTATTCCAGTGTTTTACCACCCTGACAGGAAGTTTTTTGCAGTTTCTGATGTTCAGAAGTTTAACGACATTATGCTTACATTTTCATTTTGCAAGTTTATGAAAAAATAACTAGTGCAAGACTATATATGACAAAAGGAGAGATTCACTTGAATAAGGATCTGCAAAATAAAAATTAGTATGGCTATACTGGGCCAGACCAATGGTCCATGCAGACCAGTGTTCTGGTCTTCTGACAGTGGTCAATGGAGGTACCTCAGAGGGAATGAACAGAAGATGTCAACTATTGAGTGATCCATGCCATCATCCAGTCCTAACAACCGGCAGTCAGAGACTTAAGGACATCTGGAGGAGTGATTTCCAAACTATGGAACCTTCCCTTAGGGCAGTGTTTCCCAATTGGTGCTCCACGGAACCCTAGGGCACTCCCCCGCCCTCTCTGAAAGAAACAAAGCCATGATGGCGGGGCCTTTGTTTTTTTAAGGCATCCTTATGGGTTCCGTGGCCAAATAAAATTGGGAAACACTGCCTTAGGGGGTATGCAAGACAGAGCCACGGTGAGTAGGGCTTTTTTTGTTTTTTGCTCGACAAAATGCTGCGGCAGGGCTTTTTTCCACCTTCAATGAAATGCGGCAGAGGCCTTTGTTTTTTAAGGCAGCCCTAGGTGTTCTGTGGCCAAATAAAATTGGAAAACACTGCCTTAGGGGGTTTGCAAGTTCTCATCAGGGCTATGTGACAAAAAATTCTATAATAGACAATACATTTTATTTAGTACAACTTGGCAATTCCAGATGAAACTTTTAAGATTTTTTTAAAGTAATTTCTTTACTCACTTGCCCTCTCCCCTGATACTTCAGCAAGGGTGAAGTTACTTTGTTTATGGTTTCTAGGGGATAATTCATTAAAAAGCGAAGTTACTCACCTCAGGTGCAGTAACTGTCATTCTTCGAGATGGTCCCCGTAGGTGCTCCACTGAGGGTGCTGGGCTTGCCCTGGTGCCGTAGAAACGGAGATCTTTTGATGTAGCAGTACCTGGCGGGCAGCATTCATGCTACTCTGAGCGCGTGCGCGGTCCAGCTCCCACCAGTTCCTCGAGTCCGCCTTGGAAACTAGCAGATAAACAAGAACGGACTCTGAAGCGGGGAGGAGGTGGGGTAGTGGAGCTCCCACGGGGACCATCTCGAAGAACGACAGTTACTGCACATGAGGTGAGTAACTTCACTTTCTTCTTCAAGGAGTCCCCCGTGGATGCTCCACTGGAGGTGACTAAACAGCAGTGCCCCAACAGCAGGAAGGAGGGAAAAATTATTTATCTGCTTAAGAGAGCACCGTTGACGCCACCGCAGCATCTGAGAGCCTGCCTTGATGTATAGCATAGTGTTTAACTAAAGTGACATGGGAGGACCAAGTCGCTGCTCTACATATGTCCTTTAAAGAGACACCTTTAAAGGTGTCATAGAAGCTGCCATTGCCCTTGCAGAATGGGGTCGGGGCTGTATCGGAGAGAAATGTGTCTCAAGGCATATGCTTCGATGATACAACTGATAATGAGCTTGGAGATACGCTGAGACAATAACTGTAGCCCTTTTGATTTATGAGCTAGGGAAACTATCAAATTGTCTGATCTCCTAAACTCTTTGGTACGGTCTATGTAAAATGCTTGGGCTCTCCTAACGTTGAGAGTGTGGAGGGCTATAAAATGCTTGGGCTCTCCTAACGTTGACAGTGTGGAGGGCTACCTCCCTTGGGGTATGTCTACACTACAGTGCTAATTCAAACTAAGCTAATTCGAACTAACGCATCCAGACTAAAAAAATAGTTCGAATTAGCGTTTTGTTAATTCGAACAAGCATGTCCACATAAAGTGGACCCTGAACCAGGGTTAAGGATGGCCGGAAGCAGTGCCGGCAGGGCATCAGATGAGGACTTAGTGCGTGGAGCTGCTACACACCCCTTAATTCGAACTAGTAAGTTCGAACTAGGCTTAGTCCTTGTAAAATGAGGTTTACCTAGTTCGAACTAAGCGCTCCGCTAGTTCAAATTAAGTTCGAACTAGCGGAGCGCTAGTGTAGCGCCTATCAAAGTTAATTCAAACTAACGTCCGTTAGTTCGAATTAACTTTGTAGTGTAGACATACCCTTGGAGAACTATGTGGTTTCGGATGAAAGGAAGGGAGGACTATCGGTTCATTTATGGGGAAAGTTGATGACACTTTGGGTATGAACTTAGGGTGGAGACGCAGTATCACACTGTCCTTGCTAAATATCGTGTACGGCGGGATTGTTATGAGAGCTGATAATTCGCTCACTCTGAGTGCCAAAGTAATCACAAGGAGAAAAAGTACTTTCATGGTTAATAAGCGGAGAGGCACCATAGCCAATGGTTCAAATGGTGGAGTGGTTAGTGCTTCAAGCACGACGTCTAAGTTCCGGGAGGTGGGGGGCCTCCCGAGGAGGGCTTAGGTTAATCAGGCCCATAAAGAATCTTTTCATAATCGGGTGTGCAAACAGAGAGGTGGCCCCAATAGGTTGCCTGAAGGCTGAAATGGCTGCCAGTTAGACTCTAAGTCCGTGGTCCCCAACACAGTGGGTATGTGCCCACCAAGTGCTCAGGGCTGGCCTGGCCCCGGGCACATGGCACATGGTGAGCGCCGGCCCCGGGAGCGCCGTGGATTGGCCGCCCGCGCTCTGGGCGCGGGGTGCTTGCAGGGGGCGCCGGCCCTGGGCGTGCGGCGCTTGGGGGGGGAGA